AAGCCATGGCACACGCGAACCCATGGGGCACAAGCATCCAAGCCACAGCCCCTCCCTGGGCCTCGATGCCATCTGAAGGGATGGCAATCAGGTAATAACAACTTTCCCAAAGGATGGAGCACACAGACACAGTGGGGTGTCCCACAGGCCTCACGCACCGGGAAAGCAGGGCCTGACCAGACATCCAGGTGACTATGGATGCAAAACTGAGGACTGCAGGTATGGGGTAGGGCAGACTCAGCCAAAAGCACTCCCTCTCGCCCTCTGCTTCCCTGGAGACCTCAGGGCCTTTGTACTTCCTGCTCTCTTTGCTGACACCTTCTGCCCTGAGATAATCAGACTCCAATCATCTTTCGGGCCTCAGCTAGAATGCAGCCTCACGAGAGGCTCTCTGTCCACCCTGTGCAGAGCTCCTGACCAGGATCCTCCATGGCATTTCCGAGGGATTCCTTTACATCACACTCGTCACTTGCTCAGCTCCCCCACTGCTTCTTATCTGCTTTCAGAAAGTGTTTCCACCACTAGACTGTGAGCCCCTGAGTGCAGGGACATCACACTGATGGTCTAAAAGGGACACCTCAGAAACGAGCCCATGCCACAGACCAGGCCGTTCCTCCAGACACCAGTCCACATTGCCAGCTGTTCTCCTCTGCACCCACGGTACGTGCTGGAAAAGAGAGCCAAGCTCGAAAGACTCCTAGACGGAGATCTGGCTGGGGTGGAGATGGGGGTTACTGAGCCGTGGGGTCGGCCCCCCTGGGATTCCTGCACTATGTCACCTGGGGTCCCAACACCCGTGGCCAGCAAGCACCGAATGTGGCTAGTGTGGGAGGAAACACCATTTTATTCACTTCTACTTTAAATGTTACTGGGATGCTCAGGACTGTGAAAACGAGTCTCAATTGTGCGTTTTCCAACATCTAAACGTAGGTCAGGCCAGAGGCCAGTGCCTCACGCCTGTAATCCCAGCTACTTAGGAGGCAGAGATCAGGAGGATCTGGGTTTGAAGCCAGCCCAGGCAAACAGCTCGTGAGACCCTATCTCGAAAAAACTCTTCACAAAACAGGGCTGGCAGAGTGGCTCAAGTGGTAGAGCACCTGTCTAGCAAACGTGAGGCCCTGAGTTCAAACCCCAGTGATGTCAATAAAATAAAATGATATTAACACAGGTCGAGGGTTTCTGATGAGAATTTCAAATTCAGATGTGCTGTCACTGTAAAATGTGTTTCATTTGAAAGCTTGCAATGCACAGTAAACCACCTCACTGATAATTTCCACGTCAATTCACATTAAATGAGTGAGTTGCTGGTTCTACAGGTTAATAAATTAACTATCTAAAGGAGACTCCAGTTTCCTTCTGCTCTTTGGCATTGGGTGTCTACAGAGGGTGCTGGTCTGGGAGTTTGGGGTTTGCCCAGTCCACTTGCAGTCATCAGCTGATGTTCAGAAGCAGAAGTGCAGATAAGAAACCACTCAAGGGTTTTTCTAAGATTACACAGCATGGAAGAAAATGGGCCAATCTTGTCAGATCCACCCTGCTTGGGAAGGACGTCTGTCCTGGCTGCTGTGGCTATAGAAGGGGCTGGAGGCTTGGCCAACAGCCGGTTTCTCATCCCCAAGCCCAAGGTCCAGGACTGGTTTTGTCAAAGACACCCACACGGGAAAGCCGGCCTCTGGGAGCACAGAAAGGCCTGTGGCCTGGCCATCACAGGGAAGTGAACACCGAGAAGCTGGTAGCACCTTTTCCCTTCAATCCCAGAACCGTGTTCGCCTCTCAACTCAGTCTACCCTCTCTAGACGACTCCTATGCATCCCACACAATCCGGTTCAAATGCCCCTTTCTCTGCAGCCTTTCCTGACCACACGATGATCCACACCACACCCTTCTGGACTCAATGGCTCTTATCCTTCTCCCAATCAGCCCCAACCTTTAACTTGCCCTCCAAACCTGACTTCTTCTAAACACAGAAATGTGTCTCCCCAGCAGAAAACTGCCATCAGGTCCCCTAAATCACAGTGGTTCTCAACTTAAACACCACGGTCACCTCAAAGGCTTCTGAAGGCACAGGCTGCTGGGCGCCAACAGTCTCTGCTCAGCAGGTCTAACAGGGGCCTGGGGTCTGCCCAGCTGCCAGGTCCCGGCGATGCTGAGGCTGCTGGCCGGAGGCCTGGGGTTTGAGAACCTCTCCCCCCAGGTCAAGTGAAAACCCTTCTCAAACATTCAGCCGTCCACAGCATGACCTAAGTGGGGCAGCACAGACCCAGACTGGTACCAGAGCCTGGCTACCTCTCATGCCTCCCAGGCTCTGTCCACACCCTTCATCTACCTGGATCCTGGGCCTCCTTCCCTGACCTCACAATGCCCCTGAATCCTCAAAACACGAAGACAGACACCTCAGGGGGCCACAGAGCAGCAACTGGAGGCTGCTACAGAGGACAGTGAGAGGTCAGCTCTGCAAAGCTGGTGAAGACAGTAACAGCCTAGGGACTGAAAGGTCTGAGGTGGTCACAAAACAACCGTGTGACAGCCATGTCCAGTCGAGAATTGCTTTTTCTCTCTCCGGTTTCCCAGCTCGGCCCCAAAGACTACGTAAAAGTCATATACCGAGCACACCACACAGTGAGCCTCGCTAACGCTGCTACGGACCTGTGAGACGAATGGCATGGGACCCAGCACGACACACGATGGGGCAGACAGAGCACCAGTCCAACAAAAGGGCAGGAGGGTGGATGGACAGACTAATGGGTGGGTGGGTGGGTGCATCAGTGGAGAACTCCTTTGGTTCACGTCAAAAGTGACTCTGTCACTGAGTATGATGCTCACACCTGTAGTCCCAGCTACTCAGGAGGTGGAGATTGGGAGGATCAAGGTTCAAGGTGAACTAGGGTAAAAAAAGAAAAACAGAGTGAGACTTCACCTCAACAAAGGAGCTGGGCACGGTTATTCGCACCTGTCATCCCAGCATAAAATAGGAGGATCGTGGTCCACTCCAACCAGGGCAAAAAGCGAGATCAAATCTCAAAAATGCCCAGAGGAAAAAAGCTGGAGGCAAAGCCCTGAGTTCAAACCCCACTACTACCAGGAAAAAAAAAAGGAAAAAGGCCCTGTGAGGCCAGTTTGGAAACAGACACTTAAAAACACCAAGCAGCCCGCCGTGGAGCCGCTCACAAATGCAGTCAACAAAGACTCAGTGCTCCAAGCAACATAGGCACTGGCTGGGGGACACCAAGTGCCCAGCAGGGCATCTGACTCTTAAAACCGTAAAAGTCAGAAGACTCTATTTCCCAAGTTATCTGTGGTACCTTGGGTGCAGAAGCTTGGGTGCTTGTGACGTTTCTCGCTTGTTCTTCTGACCACTATCTATGTAACATCTGCCTGATTTCTTTCTTTCCTCATTTCCTGGAAATGAGACTTTTTACAAAGCAACTTTGAATTATTAGGGCTTCATCGGCCTGGCCTGTGGCCACCAGCAAACGGCTCGCCCCCTTCGCGCCTCTGTCCCCTGCTCTGGGACAGGGTGACCATGTGGCTGCCCTGCCCACTCCACACCCAGGGTCCCTGGAAACAGTGGAGAAAGATGGGCTGTGAAATCTGATGCTGACAAGCAGGTGGTGGCTTATTTCCCTCCGCCACGAGAAGGCTTGTCCTGGGGTGGCAGTCCGTGTCTGGGGACAGTTCTGGGGGGCAGGGAGCTATGGCAGGGTTTGGGTGAGTCCCCAGGGTTCCTGCACTGGAGGCTTGGTTCCCCATTTGGTGACGTTTAAGAGGTGGGAAGTGCAGGAGTCACTGGGTTGTGGGAGGTGTGCACTCAGGTGGAACTCACAGTTCTCCCTGGGACCATCATTTGACCAAGTGATCTCATCCCAACATGGAACCGGCCATGACAGCATCTGACATGAGGCTGTCATGAGAGCCATGCACCATGCCAACGTTGGCACTGTGGCCTTGAACCTCTGGAACTGTGAGCTGAACAAACCTCTTTTCTTTGTAAAGTACCCAGCCTCAAGCATTTCATTACAGTCACAGCAAACAGACTAGCACAATCTAGAAGGGTGGAGTTCCCAGCCCCTCAGCCTTGGCTGTCCCTTGTGGCACTGCTTCTGTTCTGTGAAGGGGGCGGGTTGGTGGTCTGTAAACTCTTGTCTGGCTTTTGTAAGCAGCAGGGTCATTTCCTCCACTGATACAGAAGCCTCATTTAGCATCAGTAGTTCTGCCTCCAAAACCAGAAATCCTGTGCAAGAAAAAGCACGAGGCCTTGAGGTCAATCTCCAGAACCACAGAAAGGACAGAAAAAAGATCTGGCTGAGTAGAGTGTGGACAGATGTACATTTTAGGGGGTTTGGGTTTATAAACAGAGAGGCATTAATACTGGGGAGCCCCAGTGGGAGGGTGATCTGAGGCCAGGCTTGTCCTGAGAGCACCAGGGACACCCCAACATTGTCCTGGGGAAGCTGAGGCAAGGCGAGGCTTGGAAGGTGGGCTCGGCTCTGAGTGTGTGGTGCGCACGCCACGGTGGGGGGTTGTGGGGGGCTGCTGGGGGGGTCGGTGCCAGTACTACGAACAGCAGCACCCCAGCACTTGCCAGCTCCTGCCAGGAGGTCACTCTGTGTCCCCTCACCTTCCATGAGCCCCCTGAGAACCCCTGACCTCAAATGCTCAAATGTGAAAATCTGAAGTAACTTTCTGGACACCACTCGCATCTCAGGGCACCTCGGATGAACCCGGTGAGGGTGCTCCTTTGTGCTGCACTCCTGTTTACAGCGGGGAGGCAGCCATGGAGGCTAAGCACCTTCCTGGACGATCTGTCCTCACAGTGGCTGGGATGGAGGCCAGGCAGAGAGTGCTATAGTTCCCGTGGCCCAAGACGGGGAGCCCGTGCGGGAAGTGGGGAGCTCAGTGCTCCCCAGCCCTGCCCCGGCCCACAGGGCAGATGCTGATTGGGTAGTGGGCAGAGGCCAGCAGGCCCAGGAGGGCGGCGGCAGGGGCGGCGCGGGCCTCACCCACAGCTTGGCATCATAGTAGTAGGCCCCCAGCAGCTTCACGACATAGCGGTGGTCGCAGGTGGCCAGGATCTCAATCTCCACGATGTGGTCCTCCAGCTCCTCCTCACTCTTCGTCTCGATGACCTTGGCTGCGGCCAACGCGCCCGTCTCCTTGTTCTTGGCCTGCGAAGTGGAGACAGAGGTCAGCAAGGCTTGGGGACAGGACATGGAGCCGGGAAAGGCCCCAGCAAGAGGCCCAGGCGAGAACAGCGGCCAGATGTCCAGAGGGCCTGAGATGCGGCACGGGGATATCTGTGCTGCTGACCTCGTGCCGGCAGGAGACGCAGAGCCTGCGTTTCATCACTGGTCACAAAAGCAGGACGTGCCACACAGAATCATGAAACACGAAAGCATCAAAATACCACCACGGGGAAGATTGTTGATTTGCGCGGTGACTCAACCCAGTATCTGAGCAATCAAAGAGTGTGACACTTCTGATATAAAAAACAGAACTGGACCTTCGCACGTGCTCCTTATTGTCACCAGGGCACAACAACTGTGTCTTATTGATCGAAACAAGTGAAAACATCACGCCAACTAGGATGGCTAAGACGAAGAAATGGGAAATGACAAGTGGTGGTGAGGACGTCCAAGCTGGAACCCTGAGCGTGCTCTTGGGAACAGAGAATGGAGCCACTCCCCAGCCAGACCCCAAATCTCACTACTCAGTAACCCCAAGCCCCAGAAGCAGGGATCCAGCAGGTGTGGGTATACTGTGTACACAGCACCTCTCTTCACAGTGCCGAAAGGTGAGACGGGCACTTGATGATAGTGGGTCCTCAAGGGAATGCATAAACAAAACATTTCAAACCCCAGTACCAGCAAAAACAAAAAGGGAAAGAAATGATCTTATTTGGGCTGGCAGAGTGGCTCAAGCGGTAAAACATCTGCCTAGCAAGCATGAGGCCCTGAGTTCAAATCCCAGTGCCACACACACAAAAAAGATTCAGTTCAAATCACACATTATATAGCCAAATGAAGCCTACAAGATCAAATACTGAAATGTAAAAAAAAAAAAACCATGCAAACAGAACGTGACATGTGTGCACAATAGAATATTATTCAGCCATGAAGAGGGATGCAAGACTGATATGTGCCACAGTAGAAACGAACCTTGAAAACACTGTGCTGGACACAAAAGGACAAACACTGTACGACTCGAATGAGGTGCCCAAAGCAGTCAAATTCGCAGACTGAACCTCAAATAGAGACCCGGGATGAGACAGGGGAAGGGGAGTTACTGTGCAGTGAGTACAGAGCTTTCGTTGGGGATGATAAAAACTGTTAGAGACAGAGTGACGGGTATACAATTTGTGAGCTATTTAATGCCATGAATGTACACATGTGAAAGGCTGCAATGACAAATATGATACAGAGATTTCGTGAAAATCTGAAAGGAGAAGGTGAGTCACACCTACAACCAGGAGACTCAGGAAGCAGAGGTTGGAAGGACCACATTGCAAAGCCATCCTGGGCATTTCAAAGAGACCCTGTCTCAACCAGCAAGCTGGCCATAGTGATCCACCCTATAATACCAGCTCTGCAGGAGGCACAGCTAGGGGAATTGTGGTGTGAGGTCAGCCTGGGCACAAATTTAAGACCCCGCTTGAAAAATAAAGCAAACAGGGCCTGAGCTCAAACCCCAGTACAAGCAAAAAAAAACCAAAAATAAGAGAGCAAGAAAATAACCACACAAATGGTACGAGTTGAGCGAGCCCACCCACTACACCTCAGCCAGGTCCAGGATGCCTGCAAGGACCCTGGGGAGCCCCTTGAGCCTGGGGAAGCTGTGGGGCCATGTCAGTCCTGCTATACAAGGTTCCAATGTCATAAATGGACAAATTTCACCACAACATAGGCCCTAAAATAAAAGGGAGACTGAGAGCCTCAGAGACATCAGTCCTGGCCTCCACCCCAGCGATCCCCTAAGGGTACTGGTTGGTCATAGCCTGCTCCAGCCTCAAGTGACAACTCTGATGTTCACCCCACAGGAAACACCTCAACAGTCACTCCTGGGCGTCCTGACCCCGTGGTGACAGTGAGCCTTACACAGCCACAGTAACATAGTAACCCGCAAACAAACAAGTGCAGGGCTCGAGGGGATGAGCATGACTGGGACCGATTTGCACCTGCGCCATGTCACTTCAGCCTGTCCCCTTGTACCACTGTCCAAGGCTCCCATGGGGTCTCCAGGACCAAGGGACTCCCAAGAGCAGGTAACACAGCACTGTACCAGCCCCATCCAGGGGCCTGCAGTGTAGACAGGGCAGCCCTCTCTTGGCTTGGGAGTCAAGGACTAGTGACAATGAGGGATGTGGGCACTAGGGTGGCACCTCACACCCCTACCCCAGGAAGCCTTCCAGAGAAGTGGCAGAGGGGACCCTCGCTTTTCAGTCACCTCAGCTGGGGTGCCCCATCAGCTGAGCTGCAGGTGCCCAGCTCCCACACAGTGACATCCATCAGGGCTGGCTCTGCACCACATTGCCTCTGTGCACCAACTCAGTGACCACCAGTGGCTGAACTGAGCCCCGTGATTAATGACAGTGGACTTGGGCCACTGGGGGCACTTGACCCCTCTTCCTCCATCCAGAGCCCATCCAGCATCCGCCAGGGGCCCAGGCATGTGGGGCCGGTCCTTGTCCTGGAATTCACAGCTCACTGAGGGTCTCCACCACTTCTATGCACAACTTAGAAACCTAAGCAGCTAGGTGGTATCTCAGTATCTCTCTCTCTCTCTCTCTCTCTCTCTCTCTCTCTCTCTCTTTCTAACTGACTGTACCTGGCCTTCAGATTTCTTGTAAAGCTGATTTTGTATGCTCCCTCCCCTCCAGGAACTGGCTAAGAGTCCTTTCTCTTCTGTACCACCACCCTCCTCCTCTCCCTCCTTCTCCTCTTCCTCCTCTCCCTCCTCTCCTCTTCCTCCTCTCCCTCCTTCTCCTCTTCCTCCATCCCTCCTTTCTCCTCCTCCTCTTCCTCCATCCCTCCTTTCTCCTTCTCCTCTCCCTCCTTTCCCTCCTTTCTCCTTCTCCTCTCCCTCCATCCCTCCTTTCTCCTTCTCCTCTTCCTCCATCCCTCCTTTCTCCTTCTCCTCTCCCTCCTCTCCCTCCTTCTCCTCTTCCTCCTCTCCCTCCTCTCCTCTTCCTCCTCTCCCTCCTTCTCCTCTTCCTCCATCCCTCCTTTCTCCTCCTCCTCTTCCTCCATCCCTCCTTTCTCCTCCTCCTCTTCCTCCATCCCTCCTTTCTCCTCCTCCTCTTCCTCCATCCCTCCTTTCTCCTTCTCCTCTTCCTCTCCACACCCAGAAGAAAAGTTGGGCAGTTAGCTGCTTCACAGATGGGAAGAGGGGAAGGTTCAGCATTAGAGGGGTGGCCAGGGCTAGGGCCCGGTGACCAAGCTGCCACCTGACTGCACTGAGCCACTCCTTCAATCATTTATCTTTCACTCCTGAGAGCTGCCTGTCGCCTTTCCCCCAGTTTCCTGGACAGGGCTGTTTTCCAGTCTGAAGGTGGAGGAGGTGAGCACTATCTTCCAGGAGTGCACAAAACCTGCTTTGCCCGCCACCTTGAAAAGCACCATTGACACAGGGCCGGGCCTCCAGTGAACGCCAGTGTCAACACTGGGAACACTTGGTGCCAGCGCCTCGCTTGACTTTCACAGAGACCAGAGCCTGCTAGGGAGGGGTCAGGAGAAACGGGGGCCACACCGCGACGTGGCCCAAATCACATTTCCGATGCCTGGCTGAGCCAACAGTCCATCCCCAAGGCTGCAGAGGGAGTAGTGGTGGTGGGCTGTAAAAAAAGCCCAGGCTGACTGAGCACCAGGGCCCCACGCAGCCCTTGAGGCAGATGACATTCTCAGTTAGCAAATGAGACAACTGGGACCAGAGAGGTATGTGACTTGTCTCAGGTCATTCAGCTCGCAGGGGGTGACAGCGGGATGCAAACACAGCCAGCATGCCTCAGACCCAGAGCTCAGGTGGCTTCTCACAGCCCGGCCTGGCCAGTGCCGGGGTTTCCACTCCGTCACCCTCTGCTAAAGGTAAGGGACAACCATGGCCACAATCAACCACATGCAGCTTGGAGCCTTAGAGTGGCTAGAGTCCTCCAGCCATTACAGCAGACCCGTAGCCAACACGCTCACGTTCAGACAACATGGAGGCTTGGAGCAAATGAGCCCATCCGAGGTGCTATGAGGCCCGACTGCATTCACCCGAGGTGCTATGGGCCCCGACTCTGTCCACCCAGGGGTGCTGTGGGGCCCTGACTCCGTCCACCCTGGGGTGTGTGCTGTCCTGCTTCCATCTCTTCACCACACCGCACTGCTAGGTGACAGCCTGTTTCCCCTGTGCTCATTCATCCAACCTTATTTACTGAGCCCAAGTAAAAGCGTGTTCTGGCGGACAAGGCAGTTTCGACCTAGAGGGAGGAGTCGCAGAGGACACCACTGCCTTCCACACCCCCTTCCTCGGCTTTCTTCAGGGAGCCAACTGTCCTCTTCCCAGCCCTCGGGCCGCGATCCACCACCCTGGATGCAGACTCTTCCATAGCCAGAAGTGGGTGGTGACTCATGCTGGGCAGTTCCAACACTGCATTCCCTCTGACCACAGTGATTGGCTTAGGAATAGGCACGTGACCAGGGTAGCCAATAAAATGCAACCTTAGAACAACTGCTAAGACCACTGAGTGGTGGGTAGACCCTGTTTTTCTGTGAGCCTCCTTCTGGGGACACTGAGCCCCCCAGGGAACCTGAAAATGAAACCATAACCCAGGCCTTAGAGCTCAGAGAGGCCCTAGAGGCTCTGTTTGATCCTCTCTGCTAATTTTTACAACTCTCTATATAAGAAAACTGGTAGTCGGGCATGGTGGCTTGCACCTTGTAGTGCCAGCCACTTGGGAGAGGCAAGATGATCTCTTAAGCCCAGGAATGAAGGAAAGGGAAGGCTAGGAAGAACAGGTGCTCAGAGAGGTGAAGTCATTTGCTCAAGGTCACACAGCAGGTAAATAACAGGGCTAGGAGTTGAATTTTAAAAGTCTTTGCACCTGACTCTTCAGAGGTACCTATACATTATGCAGGCTTGTCTGGGCCTCAGTTTCCCTTCTCTACAGGGACGGGGGTGATGGCCAAGC